TCCACGGCTGCAAGTCTGTGTACAACTCTAATTCCATCATGAAGTTGTGGTGGTGAAAACTGCCCAGCGCATCACTAGTACTCCACTCCTCACCATGGAGCACATCCAGAGGAAACGCTTCCTACATTGAGGTTGCGGCATCCTCAGGGGCTCTTCGCATCCAGCCCAGACATTGCTTTCTCTCCTGCCTTCTGGCGGGAATTTCAGGTGCCTCCGGACCAGGACCAGCAGACTAAAGAACAGCTTTTCCCCTGAGCTGTCTCTTTATTGAACTCTAATCCTCACTGATCCCACTCTGCTCATATATTGATTATGTTAAGTTAACATTGTTTTTGGACTGTAAAAAGTGAAGGGGACGAACATGGACTTCTGAAAAAGTGCAGGGGACATCTTCCCCGTTCCCCACCAAATTATGTCAGTGTTTTTTTAAGTGGGCGTTGCTGGGTGCTGTTTAGCACCCTCACCGGACATGCTAAGAAGGTCAGGTACTTGTTTCCATAGCTTGGAACTAGAGGCTGGAACAAAAGTTAGAGATTTCTCCCCAACTCAAAGGAGCAACGATGCAACATCCCTTCAGGGACTTCCCTTCAGTGGCTTTTCCTACTCTGGGACATGCCAGAGTAGGAAACAATGCTGACTTTCATAAGTAGCTGGAAACAAGCTCCGTAACAGACCCAGCCATGAGACTTTGAAGATTGTGTATTTCAACTGTTTCCTCTTTTAAACATTTTATGATCTAAGACATTTCAGTGCGTGGAATATTCATCATTGTGCAACACTCAGATGGGGCTTGATACTTGCAATTCTTGGTAAAACTTTTGAGTAGTTGTTCGAATACATTTAAATGTCTATTGCCATTTTCTCCCTATATCTGTAAAGACAATTGTTAATGTTCTAATTTTCTTCATTCCCTTAGGTCCTCGACAGCATCATGTCTCTAAGGACATTAGATGTTGTTCCTAACATTGGAAAANTCAAAGGAGCAACGATGCAACATCCCTTCAGAGACTTCCCTTCAGTGGCTTTTCCTACTCTGGGACATGCCAGAGTAGGAAACAATGCTGACTTTCATAAGTAGCTGGAAACAAGCTCCGTAACAGACCCAGCCATGAGACTTTGAAGATTGTGTATTTCAACTGTTTCCTCTTTTAAACATTTTATGATCTAAGACATTTCAGTGCGTGGAATATTCATCATTGTGCAACACTCAGATGGGGCTTGATACTTGCAATTCTTGGTAAAACTTTTGAGTAGTTGTTCGAATACATTTAAATGTCTATTGCCATTTTCTCCCTATATCTGTAAAGACAATTGTTAATGTTCTAATTTTCTTCATTCCCTTAGGTCCTTCACAGCATCATGTCTCTAAGGACATTAGATGTTGTTCCTAACATTGGAAAATGTAAAGAAGAACACGAGGAATGGGAGGTTGTAGAAATAAAAGAGGAGCAGAAAGAAATGGAACCAAATCAGAAGACCGAAGTAAATAAAGAACCCGAGCTTCAATCAATCGAGGAAAAAAGGATTGAACTCTGGATTTTGCCGAAAGAAGGGCTGCCTTTAATGAAGCAGGAGATCAGCACCTCTATAGTGACTCCTGGTTACAAGGAGGAACCAGAACCTGTGACAATTAAGGTCCAACTGGAAAAATCAGAAGATGTACAGATTAAAGAGGAAGAGAAGAGAATGGAACCGAAGGAGATGAAAGAAGAACCAGAATCTAAACCAATTAGAAAGGAGCAGGTTGAACTGCAGTTCTCTCTGGATGAAGGGCTTCATTTAGTGAAGCAGGAGAACAACACCTCTATGGTGACTGCTGCTGACAAGGAATGGAGGATGGAGGCAAAGGAGGAACCAAAACCTGTAGGGATTAAAGTGGAAGAGATGGACATTGAACCAGGGCAGATGATTCACACAAAGGAGAAACCAGAACCTTTCCCAATGAAAGAACAAGCTAAACTCAATATCATCCAGAACAAAGTGCAACCTTTAGGGAATCAGGAGACCCAGCCCTTTATTCTGACTCCTGCTGTTGATCAGAATGACTACAGTGAACCAGAAACAATCAAGAATCATATGCTCAGTTTAACGCTCCCTCATATTCAACAAACCTTAACCATGGACACCAGAAATAACACTGCATCAGAGTCTTTTGTTTGTGAAACATGCGGTAGAGCTTTCTCCTTCAGTTGTAGTCTGGTTCGTCATATGAGAACTCACAGTGGTCAGAGGCCGTTTCCTTGTGAATTGTGTGAAAAGTCTTATTGTGACCGTAACACTTTGAATAATCACATGAGAACTCACACAGGTGAGAAGCCGTTTATTTGCAAAATGTGTAGTAAGTCTTTCACTAAGAGTAGTAGTTTGGTTTGTCACATGAGAACTCATAGCGGTGAGAAGCCGTTTGCCTGCAAAATGTGTGACAAATCTTTCAACAGAAAAAGTAATTTGGTGTATCACATGAAAACTCACTCTGGCGATGAGCCCTTTGCTTGCAAAAAATGTAATAAATCTTTCAGTGAAGAAAGTATTTTGGTTTATCACTTGAAAACCCACTCTGGTGATGAGCCCTTTTCTTGTACAACGTGTGATAAATATTTCAGTAGACAAAGTAATTTGAATCGCCACATGAGAACTCACACAGGTGAGAAGCCTATCTCATGTAACACCTGTGGTAAAAAATGTCTAAAACCACAATCTTTGGAAAGGCATATCAGAACTCATAGAGGGGAGAAGCCGTATCTATGTTCAACCTGTGGTAAAGGCTTTAGTGACAGAAGTAATATGCAGAGACACATGAAAATTCACACAGGTGTAAAATCTTTCTCATGTGAAACCTGTGGAATAAAACTTTCCAGACCGCAGTATCTGAAGGCGCACATCAGAACTCATTCAAAGAAGAAGCAGTAAACATGCTAAATTAGACAGGTGAAAAGGCTTCTTCCTGTACCCTTTGTGGTACGTTATTTCCTGACAAAAGTTGACTCCCCAGTCTCAAGAGAACTCACACAGGTACTAAACCATAACCTTAACCGGCTCATGTGACTATTGTTTTATACGTCGTTTTATTTTGGCTTTTGAGCCTAATGCTTCATATTTGTAAGATGGGTAACTGGTACATTGTCACATTACTTGAAGTGTTTGGTTGATAAATTCTTCTTGTTTGAAGAGAATGTTATTGTCTTTATTTTGTGTCTAGGGCAGGTTGTTTGAGAGTACCAGTGAACAATTTCCATCCATCTATGGCTCTATTATCCCACCCCTCACCATGCAGGTACTAATAAAACAATGTACGACTTTAGCTAGAGAAAAACTAGTAACTAATTTAAGCTTAAACCTATTATAAAAGCTTATAGGCTTAGTGTATTATTGTCAATATTGGTTTAGAAACAATAAGAATATAAAGAGAAAAATCAGTACATAGAAAATGAGTAACTGAAAACACTGTCAGGTGTAGCGGAAAAATATTCATATCCTATTCATTTTTGAAATAGGGATTTATATTTAGTTTCCCTTGTCTAACACATTTTAGAAAAACCTTTGATTGCAGATTTGTTTTTTTTAAGGCTTTCTTTTCACGTTCTGGTTAATTTTGAAATGTTGGTAGATAGAATACTGCAGGTTTACATGAATAGAGTTTTCAAGCAAAATGCTACAATCTCAGAGTTGACAGAAGTTATTGTCTTTGGACCAGAATCCTTAAAAAACATGCTGATTTTTCAGTCACTTCATCTAGATGACATTGAAATGGCCTCTGATAATGGTAAAGTTTATAGTTCTAGTGCCTGAGTTTATGCTAAGCTATCTCTATTACTATGCTCTTATTGGCTTAGGCTGCTGGAGGACATGGGGACTACTTTTCATCATTCTACTTCATTCTATCTCTATTCAATTCAGTTTATTTATATAGCGCCAATTCACAACACATGTCATCTCAAGGCACCTTACAGTTCACCAGATCATACAGTCAAACTGATTCAAAGTTTTCTATCTAAGGAAAACCAGTTGATTGCATCGACTCTATTATCCCATTCTGCAGTATTTGTTAGTTCAACCTCTATCTTTATGTTCTCTCTGGTTTGTCTCATCACAGTAGCTTCATCTGGCTTAGTTTTGTTTAGCAGTGACTCCATCCTAAAGAGATGCATCAGCTGGGCTGCCTCAATTACCAACTTTGGTCATAGATAATGGAGTAAGGCCTGGTTTTTAGTGTTTAGTCTTGTTTCACTTCAAGACATGGTTAATGACTGACCTTTTACTGTGCTTTGTTTCTTCCCTTTTGACATGAAAACAAGCTTAGAGCTAGTACGTATACCATTGCCCTCTCTAATGTTTAAAGTATTCCTGGATCAGCGCTTCCGTGTTCCTTTTGTGTGTCTGCTTCTGTCTTCCTGAACACGTCAGCCTTTGTAGAAGGCCATTCACACTGCAGGAGGTTTCTTCCTGTTAAACAGGAGTTTTCCCTCTCCCCTGTGGCTTGGTGTGAGAGATTGCTGAAGAGTCAATGATACAATGCCAGGAAATGTTTTCTGTTGCCACAAGTTGATCGAAGAGGAGTGAATTCTGTAAAGTCATTAGCTGTGTTTCCATGAAACCGAAATTTGAAATTTTATGGAACTTTTAAAATTTTGAAAAAAAGATATGCATAGCTGTAGTAAACAGGAAGTAGAGGCTGCAATCTAGCATGGAGCACAGATCAGTAATGGAGGAAAGTTTTAATGAATTTGTTGCAATCATAGACATTTTTTTTAAGTTAACATGTCAGATACTAATGGCAATGTTGCAACTAATAATAGGTAGATCTGGGAAGACAGCAAAAGCAGACACAGCTGCTCAGTCATGTAAGTAAAAGTTTGCTACATCAGAGCTGACTCAAAACAAGTGTTTACATCTCCCGTTTTGCACATCAACCCTTTTTCACAAATGGCAAAAAACAACTCAAGTGAGAGTAAAAACTTTTTGGTGGATTTAAGGGAGGTTATTTGAATTATGCCTTTTCCTTTAAGTTTTTTTGATGCAATACTTAAAAATGCACATTAGAAAAAGCAGATGGAAACACACCTATTGAATGGATGCAATCTGCTGGGTTTCCTTAGATTGAAAGCTCTTGACCTATCTTTCTTTATAATCTGAAGGATTATCTCTGCCTTGAGATTACATATTTTGAATTGGCGCTTTATAACTAAACTAAATTGAAAGACTGAAATTAATATAAAATTTGTTTAATTTGAGGCTGTTTGTGTTCTTCCCTAAATCAATCTTTTCTGGTAGTTGTTACTCTTATTTAAATGATAAAACTGTGTTTAAGTTTGTTCAACTCAGGGATTTAGCCAAGTAAATATGTGTTCATCAAACAGGGTTAAATAACAGATTGTTGGAATGTAAAACATCAGAAAGTGTAGAATATATATTACTGCACTGTAGGAAACATTAGGATGAGACTAAAACCAAAGATAATTTTGGCAGGAAGGAAACTGAAGCTTCAAAGTTTATGAAGAATAAATGGAAAGGAAAGCTGTTGAGCATTATTCATAAATATAGAAACATATAACATATATTTTTTTCCAGTATAATTTTTTTCACTTATGATGTAAAGTGATCCCATCGAACATGAATCAGTCTACAAACGCATGAAATGAAAAGAGAATGGTAACATAATGAAGTTGGGGTTAAAACTAGCTTATATAGTAGACAATTGTATTATAGTTATTTAAAAATTTACATAGATGGTTCAAAAAATTCAAAGGAAATTGGGAATAGGGATATTCATTCCAGAGTTTAATATATGTATATGGAAAAGATTAACAGACCTTAAATATTTAATGTAAGAAAATATGGAAATATTAAAATTATGAATTATTATAATCCATGTTAAAATCTTGATAGTGATATATTTAGGGAGATAGCAGGGTAAATACATAGAAGAGAAATATGGTGTGGTGATTTTAATGCTCACAATAGTCTTTGGGGTAGCAGGAAGACAGATCAGAATGGTAACATTGTTGAAGAAATAATGGATTAAAGGTCATTAGTTTGTCTTAATAATGGAAAAGGTACAACAGTAAATATACATAAAAATACAGTTTCATGTCTTGATATTACATTATTGTCTTGTTAGTTCATGCAAATGGGATGTCAACTGGGAGTCTACTATAGGGAGTGATCATTTTCCAGTAAGTACAATAATTGATGACAATATAAACAGGCAAGAAGATTTCGTATTAACAAGATAGTGCTTTAATAAAGCTTATTGGCAAAAATTTAAAATTAAGTGTGAGGAAACCAGTCATATGGTTACATTAAAAGGCAACATTGAAGAATGTGCAAGGATGATAACAGAACATATTTTAAATGCAGCAAGTTATAGCATACCGACAATAAAAAATAAAAGGTAAGAAAAATGTAGTTCCTTGGTGGAATGATGAATGTAGTAAAGTAGTTAAGGAGCGTAACAAGGCATTTAAAATATTACAGAAAAATCTAACAACCGAAAACCTTATTGATTTTAAGTGGAAAGGAGCAATGGTTCGTAAAACTATTAAGGAAGCAAAAAAGAAAATGGAGAGAAAATTGTTTCTCAATAGGTTCAGAAATAAAATGACAGAATGTTNAGAATATTGTTCCTCAACAGGTTCAGAAATAAAATGACAGAATGTTTGGTCAATGTTTAGGAAAATGACGGGGAAAAGGAATGATGTCAAAATACCAGCCTTAGTTAGAGATCAGGAAATAGTAGTTTTAAATAAAGATAAGGCAGATTTATTAGGCGAGACATTTGCTGAAGTTCATAAAAATGTAAAAAAAAATGTGTATCAACATTAGACATGAATATAACTATGAAAGAAATTAAAACAGTATTGAAAGGGACAGGATACTCAGCTCCAGGATCAATTATGCTATGCTATGTTTCAACAGATACCGGAAGTAACATTGAAATTAATATTAAAATTATTCAATAAAATATGGAAAGAAGGTTCAATACCAAATAGTTAGAAAAGGGAAACAATTTTACCGTTTAATAAACCAGGGAAAGATCCTATCAGTCCAAATGATTATAGACCAATAGCTTTCACTTCTCATTTAAGTAAATGGATGGAGAAAATAGTGGTCAGTAGATTAGGGTTTGTTCTTGAACATAAGAAATTAATTACTGGATACCAGTGTGGATTTAGAGCAGGGAGATCAACAATGGATGCATTAACTAGAGTCAGTAATGATATAGAGAAAGCGTTAAAAAAGAAGGAGATAATGATTGTAGTATTTTTTGATATAGAAAAAGCATATGATTCATTATGGAGAGAAGGGTTACTTATAAAAATAAAGCAGATGGGAAGATGTCAAATTGGATAGCAAATTTTTTTATGGATAGAAAAATAAGGGTGAAGATTGGGAATGATTATTCAAAAGAATTTAATGTCGAAAATGGAATACCTCAAGGTAGTGTAATAAGTCCAATTTTATTTAATATCATAATTAATGATATTTTTTCAGATACTGATAAATGTATTAAATCTGCATTATATTCAGATGATGGGGCCATATGGATGAGAGGAAAGAATATAAAACATTTAGTAGAAAATATTAATAAAGAAATTAATGAAGTAGAAAAATGGTCCTATGAATGGGGTTTTAAATTATCAGCAAACAAGTCTTTGTTTCATGGTATTCACAAATAAGAGAAATATTGATAT